ATACAATATCCCGTGCTTCCGAGAAGTTGGTGATCAGGAAGGGATTAGGTAGGTGATCAGTGTAGTATGCTTGTATCCTTTTTCAATTTAACACAGGCTTTCATAGGAATGTTTCCTGTATGTCACATTTGGACTTAAATTCCTCATTGATATTTGGACAGTCAAAAATTATTCAAAAATTGGGTCCCCTATCTTGCAGTAGTTCTTTGAATGTGTTGGATTGACAGCCATGGGAATTTGAATGTTTCTTTGTGATAAAAAAGCTTAACCTTGTCCTTTGACATTCTGAAAGCAGAAGAACGCAGAAGGTAACAAGAGGAAACTGATGCCATTTTCTGCTCTGATTTTATGTTCACATGCTTTGGAATTTGTTTTTGAGTAAAAGAAATGTGGCAGTCCCTCCATATGCTCATCCATCTATCCTCTTCTCCAGGCAGAAATTGCACAGCCTACCCATTTGAACTGTTAGTCCTATGTTTGTCACGCTACACCTTTCTTTTTCTGCAGTGCAACCTTCTTCTGGAAATGACACCAAGACAAGCTGGGAAATAGAAGTGAATGCTGCAATTCAACCAGCAACAGATACCGGTGTGCTGTTTGCTCTAGTTACAGAAGAAGCATCTGTCCCTTTATCACTCTCTCTGATTGATTATCATTCCACAAAGAAACTGAAACAACAGGTACAGACTTAAGCGTTTTTCTAGAGAGGGTTCCTTGCTATTTCCTGGGAACTGAAAGTTGTCAGGTTTGCTGCCTGCCTACCTACTTGCCTCCACCAGTTCAGAACATGGTCTGAGACCGAGGTGCTTGGCTGACACTGAAGTTCTGCCTGTTATGGGCACGTGTCAGACACTACTAGGGAGCTCTTTGCAAATGCCATCTAGGTAAAAGCTGGAACTGGTCTTTTGAATGCAGGCATATTTTGTTGTTTTTTCTGGCACAGAAGCTGTTTAATGCCATAAGCAAAGAATTTCCATTCTGTGGAGCTCATCATTGGTAATAGTCCCAAGGTAGTCAAGAGACAGTCGTAGTGTCACTCCAGGTGCTGTGAAAGCCCAGGTATCATGGAGTGCTGAAGCTACTGATTTAATGGTATTCATAATAAAGGGCTAGATTCTGTGTAGTGTAAATGATGAGTGTATGGCCTCAAATAGATGAGTGTAAATCAGGAATAATTTCACTAAAACCCACAAGCCAACTTTTCATTTATAGTACAGCAGCTCTAGTCTATTTGGTTCCTCTGCAAGACGCACTAAGAATTCTCTCTGAGAAGATAGTGGTTACGACTAGCAAGCAGTCATGCTGGTTCATTGGGTTTTCATCTGTGCAAATGAGCTCAGAACACAGTCAGTGATAGTAATAAGGCTAATTCACTGGTGGCTCTGCAAAATATTTGTAAACAAGGCCACAGTGCAGTCATCCTGGTGTTGGATAAGCCTGGTGAGGTATATTTCTGCTCACTGCCTCTTTTTTCTTCTTTCCCCTGCTGTACAGTTTATCATCGTGGCCTTGGAGAACACTGTTGTGTCCAGAGTGGCAATAAATCTCTGCGATAAGAAGGAACACTCTGTGGACATCCACCTCAAGAAAGATCTCTTATCCCTGAGGGTAGATGGGATAGCGGGAGAGAGTGAACTAAGCATCTCTGAGTTAGAGGACAGCCTGTCCATCTTGGAGAGCTCTGTGCAGTCAACAGTGAAGACGTATGTGGGAGGATTGCCAGGTGAGCATCTAGTTTTGTAGCTTGGACTACAGACTCCCGACTCACCTTGCTGAGCTGGCAGTCAGGGAAACTGTCTCCGTTCATTCAAGCCGGGAGCCTCCTTCTCTGTTTCTGCTTGAGCAGGCTTTGTCTGCAATGCAGGCATGTGATCTCAACAGATGTGAGGGTGTGCTTGACAGTTGTGTTTTTTTCTTGAATGATTGTGTCCTTCTGAGGACAGCTGGAGGCAAAAATGCAAAGAGGAGGTTTTGTTTGGTCAGCAATAGGAATGTTTTTTCTGAAGGGTAGCTGTAAGCAGGCTCATTATCTTAAACCTGGTAAAATCCATAGGAGCAGGACCACAGGCTCCTGCAGTACTTCATTAATGTAATGAACATGTGTGAGCACTTCTTGAGGGGAGTACCAGGGCCTCACATTGTTTTGACTGAAGCTTGAGAAGCCCAGTGTGGTGATTATCCCTCACTGATGTTCTCTCTGAACTGATCACAGCACCCCACAATTAACAGATTTCCTCCCAGCAGAGTGTGCTTAGGGCACAGTCAAGGGGCTACCACCATTTATAGTTTTGCTGGCTTTTCAGCAGCAACAGGGCTTCTCATGGGAGGTCAGTTTGCTCCTCTGTTCTGAAAACAGAAGATCAAACTTCCACCTGAATCATGAATTTTGGCCAAGTTTGGGGGTTTGTTTCTTGTTCTGTCTGAACTGGTTTATCAGTCCCTACTGCTGAGGAATGCAATTAAGGAAACACGTCTCTGCTGCAGAGCACTACATCCTGTTTTATTGCCAGCAGCTAAGCAAAATCTTGCCCTTACTTGCCCAAGCAAGGTGGGGGCAGCAATGTTGACCTCTTGGCAGGTGCTGAAGCAGTCAGGCTGGAAGAGGGTGGGTGAGATGCCATGTGTGCCTGGACACATGGCATGACCGTTCCCACCATGAACAAGAGTTTACAGAGTATTTGTGCTGATGTTGTAAATGGCTCCTAGTCACACCTAAAAGGGGGAGGCCACACACTCTGGGATGTTCACACACTGGCAGGAACAACACTGAATCCCCAGATGTGGCATTTTCCAGTGTCAGACTGAGTTGTCTGAGCTGGCCATTGGACGGGGAAGACAGGTCACCCACTGTCTTTCAGGTAGCTCTCAAATGCACAGCAGAGACTTTCACAGCTCAGAAAACAATCCCATTCTGTCACTGTCCCGAGTTCTCTATGGTTAGCTTAGACTAACCGTGCTGGGTGAAGCACAGTTTTTAATTAGCCAGAACTAATTATGAAATATCACAGCCATGGCTCTTTAGACCCAGCTGGCTTCTGTAGGTTTAGCAACTTCCCTGCTTTGATCTGTTCTGCTCAGCAACAGGAATTTCTGCCTGTGGTCTGCTTTTGGCATTGAAAGGAACCCAACACTTGCATCTAGAAACCTTGTCATTTGCCAAATGAATAAACATTTCAGCACTTTGATTGGATTCATTACTCTGGGTTAAATAACTATACCAAATGGTCAAATTGAAGTGGGTTTGGCTCATTCAAATTTTGAAAACATTACGTCGTCTTTGGTTTTTCCCTGCTTCCATACCCTGTGGAAAAAACAAAGTATAGAGGTCACACTTAATGTCTTTATTCCATTTGTCACAACTAAAGAAAGAATTCTGGGTCAAAATATATAGTATGTCCCATCCTGAGTACAGCTAATATTGCAGATATGGAAGAAATGTTATTTACAGTTTCGAGAGATAAGAGGGAACATATAGGTATTTACTACCTTTCCTATGGTATTTTAATTATGGTTAATCCTAAATTATGTCATTTACATGATGTATAGTAGTTTTTCCAGGCAATGTGTATACCACCAGGTGAAGGAGCCTTTAAATAAGGCTTATTTTTATTTTATTATTTTATTTATTTTATTATTTTATTGTATTTATTAAAAAAACTTATTAATATTTTTATTTTAGTATTTTATTTCCTTTTGCAAATGAAACTAGTTTATTTTTTCCCATATCAGTCTCTTTTCCTTGTGGGGAGAAGAAAGTAGCTACAGTAACCAAGAGTCAAAGAGGAAAACGGCCTTTGCCTATAAATTAGTCTTCACCAGCTCCTTTGTTCCCCAAAGGCCACAGGCTGACTGTGGTTTAGGAAGAAATACAGCAATTTGGGATTATGCACGGATAAAATAGAGTGATCCTCATCAGCTGATGGTATGTCATCATCATTTCTGTGGATATGAATTTGGACTGGGATTGGGGAGGCAAAGTTCAGCAGATCTGGCAAATAAGTCGCAGTGCAAAATGATTGTTTGTCTTGAAGAATGTCACCATGCAGACAAGGGAATTAGGGCAAATAAATCCTGGTGATTTATAGGTTACTACAGCAGTCAACGTTGAAGGAGGAGGCAGCAGACGGGTTTTATCTGCTTCCCAAGATACTGGCATATGTGGTAAGTAGATGGACGATATTTTTGGTGTGCTGCTTACTGCTTTCCTCCGAAGAGACCCCACCCTTGGTGTAATTAATCGGCCAGGTAGCAATGCCGTGTGTACCACCGGGGACATTTTGGCTGTGCTGAGCTGCCAGGGACACGCTCTGCGATGGGGCCGGCTGCCGTGCATCTGCGGGCAAGGGCTGTCACCACGGGGCAGCAGGACTCCCTCAGCAAGCTGCCCTGTGGAGGACCACCACCACCACGGGCGCAAAGAGCAGAGCCGGGCACTGCCTGCCGGCTGCCTTTGCCACGCTTGGAGGTACTTCGTCAGGACACAAACCTGTTGCTTTAAGTAAGAGCTCTTGCTTTGCAACTCTGTGCTCTTTGTGTTAATTACCAACACCTGACACGGGAAGATGTCTTAAAAGTGTAACTGGAAAAACAAAGGCTTCACGTCCTTCTGCAATAAAAGATAACATGGCTGTGTATGGTAAAGCCATTAAAATGCACCTCTTCCAAGGTTTTGCTCCTTCTAAGGACAGAGAGGGAGAAACACAGTGGGCAAGAAAAATTTACACTCTTGCAGATAGGGCTTTGGTTTAGGTTCCTGAGGAGCAGGGTCCCCTCAGGTCTGTACCGGGCACCTTGTTCAGGCCCCTGCTGTCTCTGCCTACGGCGATTTTCATTGCTGTGAACTGGAAGCAGCGGGAGATGTTTTACAGACAGAGGAACTGCACTTTCAGGTTGTGAAACTGCTAAAGATACAGGGAATTAAGAAAGGAAGAAAGAAGAAACTGCGTGGGCCACTGAAAGCAGGCGCTGCTCCTTACGTGCTGAAAGCGCTGGGGAAAGCGGTTGAAGTTCCCTTGCACAGAGGTGGAGGAGACAGCATGGGTGAAGCAAAGACTGCTTGCTCTGCCATGGGGACACATTTTCCTTCCCTACTGAAAAAAACCCACTGCTTGGGCTTCGTGGAACAGGACTTCCAAAACCAAAATAAGCCACAAACATGATGCTCCATAAATTACTTTTAAAAATCTTTTTAATGAAGAAATAATTCCATTCCAAAATATAGACACACAATTAAATAGTTTAATCACTTCAAAATATAACATGTCCCCAGTAGGTTCCAACACACACACACAAAACAATACTTAACAGCAATACAAAAAACCCATACAATAGCAGTTCTGTTACAATACCAATGAATATCGTGACATCTTTAATGTCTCTGTATCTGTCGCAAGTGGTGTCAAGTACAGTAGTTTTAAAAATGTCTTACAATTAGTAGCCTCAAGATGTAACTCTTCATACTTTTTTTTTTTGGTTCAAAGGTAAAAATGCCCTTTTCTCTTCAGGACACGGTGGAGTGCTCGTTGTTCACAGCTCCGTCTGCTGAATTGAACCAACGCGATTACAGCAACCCGAGGTTGCAATATGTACAAGGTCTATCTACAGTAATTGCCAAGAACCAATTGGGATGGGAGAAGATGACTGAAAGTAAAGGCGGACACACTTATGATAAATTATGATGCAACAATTTGGCTCATGCATATAAGAAAATACATATTATATCACAACAAAGGCCACACACCTTTTTATGCAGTTTAGTTAACATTACTACTTACAGACAACCCGTTCTCCACCTTTGCTTTGGACATTCGAGGACCCTACACATCTTCACATCCCTGTCTCCTGATTCCAAACCACCGGTTTCCCTCCAGTCACAGTAAAACCACCCGGAGCTTTGACTGCTGTGGCGGGGCATTGGTAGTTAAGAAAAGGCCCACGCCAGGGACCTCTTCTGTAGCTCTGTTTGTTTTAATGGCCGCAAACCACAACCAAAATAATATTCAACAAGCAGACAAAGACCAGCTGGGCAAAAACACAGCCAGCTTAACAGTTGGGAAATGCTTAAAATAGGTATTTGGAGAGCCAAGTAAGAGGTGCTTCATCTCAGAGCTTAAGGGCATAAGGGACTGAGAACTCTCCTGGGGATCATCTTGTTGACACCAGTCTGAGAGAAAGGCGCTTGATCCATCAACTTTTTTACTTACTCCTAGCCTAGAAGCCCTTGCAATGGATTTATTCTGTTGCATCGATTTTAAGCATAGCGATAATGAGTACGCAGACATTAAGATGATGGGAGGGGTCTGTTACTCTGGGTACAGTTAAACACGACATGGGTTGAATTAGTCAGCCGTTGCACTGTAGCTGTGTTCTAGCTTGTTTTATCTCTGCTCAGGAAATGCCTGCCTGGCATCCTGAGCTGACAGCAACATTACAGCTTCACTGGAGTAGCTTTAAATGTGGAGTGCTAGGCACTAGTGGAGGCTCACCCATTCCTCAGAGGAGGTTGGAGGAGGGGGCATCAGAGGATATGGTGCCTGCCTTGCCAGGACGGCACATACCCCCGGAGCAAAGACCAGTGATCGCAAAAATGGAAAGCTTACGTGAAGATCTCTGGACGCCTTAGTATGCATTTGGATGTCTAAGACCAAGCCCCAATATGCAAGGAGATACTGACAAGAGATCTGCATATGCAGTGATGCGATATGAAAGAGAAGAACGGCAGCA